TCTCCCAAATGTCCCGGCCGCAACAACGCTTTTATTGGTTCCGCTATCGGGACGAACCAATAATTGTATGCCGTTATTTTTTTAAGTAAAAACAAAAGGTCAATTTTAATGTTTTACTTAGATCACAAAAATAAATCATAATAAAAATTATCCTATTTATGATGTTTTAAAAATTAAGACCTACGAAAGACTGATTTAAGACATTTTAATACCAATTAAGGCCTTAGTTTTATTTTGAAGAATTCAATGCCTTTTAAGACTTTTTAAGGACCCGCGGGAACCCTGCAAGAACAAATGCATTTATTTTAAGAAAAGATTTAGATTTTTTCCAGTGTGATGCAAGGTAATAAGAAAAGATGGCTTTTTTCATCTTTAAAGGTCAATCTCTGCATTTCTTTAAATAATCACATCTAGATCTTCCAGAAGGAAGATCTATCTCTGTAAGGGTGATATTCATATACACATGTTTAATGTGAGAAAATCCAATGTTAAGCAAAAAAACAAAACAAAAACCCGGATCAAGCTGATCAAACAGAGACGGTATTGTCAGACACAGGATGGAAAAAAAGACGATTAGGAGCCCCGTTATCCAAGAAAAAGGTTTCCTTTGTCCTGCTCCATCAGGCTGAGCCCTTTCTGAGACATCGGAGAACGCTGTAATCAGACGTAACATTTCAAAAACACCATAGCTGAAAAATTAATTACATGCACGCTTCTGACAGATGTTCTCCAGTGGTTTTGCTCAATCTTGCTCAACCAGCAAAAGCTGGAATCTAAAGCTCCGATTTGCCCTCGTAAAGTGTGTGCATAAAGCAGGGATACCGGCCTGTTTTTCATGAGCCGACTGTGTGTGCAAGACATGAATAGGATGGGGCTCAGAGACACTGGTAGTCATCGCTGCCTGCCGGGATCAACGCCAAACTTATCAAACCGGTTAACACAACAAAGATGCTAATTGTGCTCGGTCAAACCGACAAGCTGGTATTTAATAACGTGCACACAAAGACGGAGTGAAAGAGGATTTCAGTTAATTGCTTTGAGGCAATAATACTGATCAAAAGGTGCAGAGATCAAAAGGAGCGAAGACAGCCGTGTGCAGTTAATAGGTCAGGAAGATCTTGTGGTATGCCACCGTGCCAAAGCTGCAGTGTCAGCGGTGAAAGCAAACCTTGAAGCAACCTTCGAATGTTTCTCAGGGCAAAAATCCTCAAAAGCTAAACAAAGATGATCTCATTTATTGGTTAATGGCTAAAACTTTCATGTGTTTTTTTTTTTTTTGTCAGACGATGAACTTTAGATGAACATATAAAAGGGAAATGTGGGTAGAGACTGGTTACAATTGCTTGAGCAAACCTAAAAACGTATTTTAGCATTACTTAAAACATTATTTAAAACAAGTAATCTGAAGTAATACTACCTATTACTCAAGTTAGATTTATAACTTCACTGACTGAGGAGGAAACTAGTGTTCAATTTACTTTCTATGACATTAAAACTTTCTATGCCAGTAGCTAACTCTTTTGTTTTTTGTATTTTATATACTTTCAAATGTGTTCTAAATCCTACAATTTGAGCACATTTTCTGTTAGTCAGACTAGTTTAGAAGAACTAAAATTGAATTCACAACAAGAAGATGTGGTAAAACATGTACTATTAGTGAGGATGCAGAGTT